CATCGCTGCAATCGTCCTGCTCCAGTTCTCTGCTAGTGCCTCGAGTGATGGAGACGCAGGACAGCAGCCGTCGACGAGAAAGGACGCAAGTGCAACTGCCGAGGTTGACGTCACACTCCAGCTGCTAATGTGAGTGTTCAATCTGAATGTTCGAAAGTCTGCTCTCCCTGATCCTATCTCCCCCCCCCCCCCTGGTTTACGCCTTGCCCGATCTCTCCAATGGTCGTTGCCAAGCTAATAGCAAATTGCTTTGATTTATACGGTCGGTCCAGACAATTCTAGTTGTGGTCTCCACTCTCCGCGATCGCCAGAAATTATTGGTGCAAAGCTGTATTGCGGTTTTGTTCTTGGGGTATTACTACCGGATAGGCTGCGTTATAGGTGATCGAGGTTTAGCTAAAAATTCAAGAGTGCGTATATGTCATTGTTAGGATCTACAGCTTACCATTTGCGGACTAGGATTACAATGGGATTCGCAGTGTGTTTAGGTTCAACAGTGACGTTCAGTTGGGTTTGTGAGAGGAGTTCAGGGCGTGGTTTCAGTCTCTTTTACAGTGATGTGAGCTGATATTGCTGCGCCACATAGTGGGTTAATAATGAAGCTGTTAGTTTCTGTGCGAACCTGTCAAAGTCAAAGTTAACAAATTAACCGGTTAGGCGTAAGTCATATATTATTGGTATTCTGTTGAATTAGCTTCTTGACTTGGAACCTGAGTTAGACTGCATTTAAATTCAGCGTGTTTAATTTAGAATACACACTAAAGCTATGAAACGGTCTGTTGTGGGCATAGTGGGAAGCATCGAGCTCTTACAAATTTGGAAACGGGTGATTGGCCACAAGGTCAATAAGATCATCCGTCGAGATGTCATCAACGCTTTTCCACTCTGGTGTTTCGTGGAGTTCGCACTACAGTATAGAGGTTTACACTAGATACACACACACACACACCGAATACGAAGAGCACATATAGAAGAAGCACACGGTGTCTGATCGACCTTGGTCCAGCTGTTAATTCCGACGGGTGAAGCGGCGCGGCGGTGGGCCGCCCAGGTTTATGAGCTGGGCTGCAAATTCAGGTCAGAATTCAGCTGTTAAGGAATTCAATTACTCGAGGCGTGCAATTGTGGAAACAAACGTGGTAAATTGTTCAAAGATGTTGGGTCATCATAATGTCACTAGGTCGTCGTAATGTCGTGGTATTATCGAGCATAGCCATCAAATGACGTTTATCATGGGCAGTCCGGGCGTACTGTTTGCATCACTAGTCGCGGGACAGAGCTGGCGGCGGACAGGACGGTCCGTCGGCTCTCGGTCGTAATTTATGGGAGATTTATTGACGCAGAATATTTCAGACCAGGTAAACAATATCAGTGAAATTGTTGGGGCTTATATTTTTAGCGAACCTGAATACTCGTGGTTTTGTGGTTGCTGGTAGCAAGTATTTCACCCGACACAAATTGACGAAAATTTAATGGCCCAAGATGATACATTTGATCTTTCTATCTGTCACATTCGAGTGGCTACAAGGTATATTGCAAGCTGACTATCTTTGATCAATAAGCCGGAGTCTAAATGAGGAGAGGGTTTGTTTGCCCGGCTCTTATGTCGGAATGTTGACTAGCATGACTTAGACACAGAACTTCCTGAGAAATTCGTCCAGACCGGTAATGTAAGGTAAGGAGCACATCGTCTTTAGCAGAGCTATTCACGTTACCCACCGTGGTGATACCGCGGTTGTTGTTGGTTTCCCGCAGGATTATTTAGTGGGCAAAGGTAGGCAGGCTCAGAGGCATGAAACGGCGGATCCCAGCGGAAGTCCATCAGGAAATCCATCAGGAATGGTGGAGTGCTGGGTCACTGGTAAGTCATCCACAGGTGGTGCAGGAAGCCGTGCGTCCCAGGAAGTCATCATACTTATCTGCATCTTGATCATCGGTATGAGCCAGGAGTTTCCGGCCACATCCGGTGATGGACAGCCTCTGGGGGACCGGGAGAGTCCCCCCTCGGAGTTCGTGAGTCCTGGTAACGTAAGACCCACGGAACCAGATGAGTTCCAGGCAGATAGTTCCAGGACGTGGATACGTGAACTATGGTCCCAGGACGTGAACGGTAAGTTCCAGGACGTGGACCGGAGGGAGCGCGAGGCCTAGCGCTCTCTCAAAAGGGAAACCAGCCGGGTGTAATTCGCGAATTCGCATCATAAGTCTATTGGACGTGTTGTGGATCCGACTAAATTACAAAGATGAATAATTATCTGCATGCAATACTGGACGGCCCTGTGGCTTGGCCACCGGTTAGCGGGAGCACACGTGGATTCATAAGAGAGACATTTATCTCGCCGGGGAGGTTATTGTTGCCAGACACCTAACACTATCGGAGGGATTTCGAGGGGCACTAAATAAATTTTGGTGAATAAATGAAGAGCGTTTGTATGTGAGAATGTGAGTGCGTATGATAAAGGAATGAATCTTAGATTAAGGCCGATAGGAGTTAAGTGCAGCTCGGTTAGGACAGTCACGCCAATGATTCTCGAGGGCACTTAAATTCAGCTACGCTAATACGATATAAGTGGGCAAATTTGAAAAGGGTAGAGTAGACCAGTGATGATGAATTGGTGACTGGACAAATGACCATCCAGCAAATCAAGTTAAATGCCAACGAATGGCTTGGCAGTGATCATTAAGACCCCAACTGCCTTATCCGGCCCTTCTCTCACTGTGTCGATTACCCATGGGTTGGAGCCTGTCCTTCTTGCCCGAGCAGTGAAGTTACCGAGTCGACGTCTATACAATGTGATGATGATCAAGCCTCAAAATGAAAGCATCTCCCATCAGATGCATTTGTATGCCGGGTGGGCTTCCATAAATCAACTTTACTTACGCACATAGCTCCAGTCTCCAACAGCACAATTCCAGCGCTTCACATCGGCACGAACTACCCACTGCTCACAGAACCCCCAAGAAAGTCCCCCCCCCCCCCGGAAAACAACACCACCCCCACTCCACCGCACCCCTGTTCAGTCCCCCGCGCTACACAAGCTCTGTGAATGTCCGTGAAGTTAGCGTCAGCAACATGTGATGTGGTACGACGGCTGGGCGGTATCTGCATAGGTAGGCTGCGCCGCCTAACACCCGAGTCGGGCGGGCCAGCCTACCTACCATCCAGAGTCCGGACGTTCTACAAGGAAGGATCAATCGAATAGCGAGCAGCTGAATGCTGAACATCTGAACCAGTAAGAATGTGGAATTGTGGACTAGGTCGGTGCCTAATGGGCCACATTATTCGGAAATGATGCGATACTTGCTCGGGAAAGTATTTTGAAGCACAACACCAATGATATTCGCATCTAATACTGCTGTCTGTATTTGTCGACTTGAAGGTAAATCTTACTGCGACTTTGTACATACTTAAATATATTTTCCATCATAAATCACATTGTTTGACACATAACAGTTAACCCTTACAGCAAAGTAACCGAAAAACAGAAGCAAGTGCACTCACTAGTCACTCACAAAACAGTAGGCAGTAGGAACACGTAGACACATCCAGTAGCGAAATCCGATGACATTCACAGTCACACGTCGCCCGCGCCGTATGGACAGCTCTCGATATTTGAGAGCAGGTTGTACGTATGTATGTGTGTATAATGTATATATGGAGGTGCAATGTGCATGTACCGTGCAGATGTTTGAAGATGCTCTTTGGTGAGCGCCTACATTTAGTCGTGCATGGATGCAGCATGTATGCATGTGTAGGTGCATTGGACGAACAATTCAACATACTAGGCTGAACGAACGTCAGTTGATTTTTTTTCGTGCATCCCTTATGGAAATAAAAGTAATGTACTTACTTTTCAATAAGGGGTGCATGAAAAATCAAATGACGAAGTACGTCCACCCTAATGCGCTGAATTGTCCGCTACATACTTGTCTTTTGATACTCAGCTCATATGTGTGCTCTGTGCATGCTTGCGGATGCGTGCGTCTGATTTTCGTCTGTATAGTTGTGCTGCGTGTACGTGTGCGTGTGCGTGTGCACACATGGAGCTGCAGGTTATAATAATTGATAAGCGGTCATGCATAAGCCGGGCTGCTCTTCGCTGTTCTCTGGACAGGCTATACCTAATGGAATGCTCAACGTTCATTTCTAGCAAAGTTCGAATAAAAGATAGCCACTTAAAGGGACTATCCCACCTTCTAAAATGTTGTTAAAACCAGTTAAATTGTGCCCGACTTTATAGATTGGATGACCAGGAACACGGTTCTGGCATTTATTTTTCATTAAACATCTTAGGCTTCCCATATTCCAAACACAAACTTTCAAATATGTGATGTCACAGCCCAAAATTACCTCCTTCCCCAGGCCACATTACTGTCATAAAGCTGATTCTTTTTACTCTGTAGGCACCACAACAAAGTTCAGACCAAGTTTTAAGCGATTTTTCAACGAACAAACCCATTTAAATCAGAATGACTAAACGAGGTGACGTCACACTAACGGTCGCTCCATGTTGAAGATAGGGCCTTGTACAAGGCCCATTTTCAAATGAAGGGAACGAATTTCTTCAACACCAAGAGGCCACGGGGGTTGCAACCTAGATAGATAGTGGTTTCTGAACCTCGCCGCAAACTTGGCTATCTCAACTCAAACCCCATGTTAAAGGTGGGATAGTCCCTTTAAGTTACATTTATCACAGCGGCAAAAGCTTACAAAAATATAGCTTTGATGGCAAAAATACCCATCGGGCCATGCTGGCTCTAGTTATTAGGCATTAGCTGTCACAACGTTTCATTCATACGTATCTTTTTGATATTTGCTCCAGATTTGCCCTCGCTGGTCTAATTCGCACCAAGCAGCCTTATCCATCGCCATATTTCCTCAGAGCAGTGGTATCACCGAAATATCTGCAAACGTCGGCTCAAAATGTAAACGCTTGCTATGACTCGAGCAAAATAAAGAACGGCATAAACTACGTAATAGCAAAGAATCCGGCCCTCTATTTTGCCATCGACGAATATCAAGTCAGTGCAATGCTGAATTTAGCCAGAAGTGGCAGCAATCAGCCTCGTGGAAACGCTTTGCAGTCTAATGCACTTGAAAGCGCATATTTCAGGTATCGAGCAACATTATATTACAGGACACGCTGAATTCATTTACCAATTGGCGTCTACCGTCTACATTTCGCCAGGTACAATTTCGAGCACATAATAGTGGAGCCGTATTGATTCCGGATCTTGCCAAGGCAAAACACCCTCAAAGCCAACGGCGCAAAAATAGCTGGCAAAAAAATGGGTTAGATCTGCGTTATTGATTCCTTTTAACATCTTAGCCTTTCCATTGTTCAGAACAGAGAAACTGTTATTACAAAAAAGTGAGCTAGCTTATGGAATTATCATCCGCTCAAGATAACACCAAAACCGTGTGTCTCGCAATATAGTCATGAGAATCGTTGCGTAACACGGGACAAGCGCTCAGAGAAGAGGTGGCCGTGGGGGTGGTAAAGAAACGGTCAAACACGCTGTGCTCAGCTGTGCAACGGTCCCAAATACGTCAGCTGAGCCGACCACACATACACTTACACAAAACGAAACACAAACACACACAAAAACAAATGAACACACACATGACTTAGCGATTGTACTCTGAGAATATTATGGAGATCTCAATTGATAATGCTGCTTGTGAAAATAAAACAACGCCCACAACTATTTGTTGACAAACTGCTCGTTAAGTTCCATGCTACGTGGTTAGGAGTGGAGTCTTTGACCCTCTGGCCCCACAACTGACGGGGTCGCTCGACCCGTAACTCCTGCCCTGTGCCGGCTGACCGCCATCACACAGCCTGCATGCCGCGCTCAGTGCAGTGGTTCAGACCGGCGTCAGGTGGGAGGGTGCCACGGGGCCGGCGCCGAGCCCGTCCGTTGGCCGGTTCGCTCCCGTCCCTTCCAGTGACAAGGGCTGTTGTTGTTTATCGCAGATAAATGAGAAAGCCAAACGCATAATGCGTGACGTTCATATAAACGTATAGGAACAACGTGAAGCTCAATGCCAAATCTGCTTATTATATGCATTTACCTGCTTATGTATAAACGGTAATTGTTTGCCAGCATCGCCGTCGTGCGTTCAGTTAGATGTACGCGCTGTGCAGTAAAAAACTCACGTCAGAGAGAACACATCACACGTCATGACGCCAAATGACAGAACGCGAACAAGTAGCAGTGCCCAGTGATGTTTTGCTGAACATTGACGTGCCAATTGCCATTCCTCATGCTGTACCATTCTTCAATTGACGGCGCCCTGACACAACGTCTGGCTGCACTGTGTATCACTGTCCAATAATACCTCCATCACGGCGCCACTGCCCGGTCAGAAATTCATCCGGCGCCAGGAGCCAGCACCGCTGATCAGTCCACTGCTACACTGTCCACTGACACTGGCAGCACGATGTCTTGTAGCACTGTCCGACACAATTCTACAGTGGTATACCTAATATTGTCCACAACATTGCCAAACAAATAACATATACCCATAGTGGATGGCTCGCATGGCCTGGCCGAAAGCCAAGCAAAAATAGTTCATGCCAAGCACTCCTCTGCCATCTCCCAACGGCGGTTCCAGAACCGTTCCCAACGCATTCCACAGCCGTTCCTGACCAGTTCCACAGCCGTTCCTGACTCGTTCCACAGCCGTTCCTGACTCGTTCCACAGCCGTTCCTGACCAGTTCCTGTACCGTTCCTGCGCCGTTCCTCGCTCGTTCCTGCGCCGTTCCTCGCCGTTCCTCACCGTTCCGCCCTACACCTGTATCACGGGCGTGACCGGCTGGGCGATGACGGCGCACCCCCTGGGCGGCTCGCTCTCGATGTTGGAGCTCACCAGGGACTGATCGTAGCGCAGCAGCGACAGCAGGGAGCTGAGCAGCTCGCACGTGCCGCCCTTACAGTGCAGCGCCGTCTGTGAACGAGCCGGGAACGGGCCGTCAGTACAGTGCAGCGCCGTCTGTGAACGAGCCGAGAACGGGCCGTCAGTGCAGTGCAGCGCCGTCTGTGAACGAGCCGGGAACAGTGAACAGTCAGTACAGTGCAGCGCCGTCTGTGAACGAGCCGGGAACAGTGAACAGTCAGTACAGTGCAGCGCCGTCTGTGAACGAGCCGGGAACAGTGAACAGTGAGTACAGTGCAGCGCCGTCTGTGAACGAGCCGAGAACAGTCAACAGTCAGTACAGTGCAGCGCCGTCTGTGAACGAGCCGAGAACAGTGAACAGTGAGTACAGTGCAGCGCCGTCTGTGAACGAGCCGGGAACGGGCCGTCAGTACAGTGCAGCGCCGTCTGTGAACGAGCCGAGAACAGTGAACAGTCAGTACAGTGCAGCGCCGTCTGTGAACGAGCCGGGAACGGGCCGTCAGTACAGTGCAGCGCCGTCTGTGAACGAGCCGAGAACAGTGAACAGTCAGTACAGTGCAGCGCCGTCTGTGAACGAGCCGGGAACAGTGAACAGTGAGTACAGTGCAGCGCCGTCTGTGAACGAGCCGGGAACAGTGAACAGTCAGTACAGTGCAGCGCCGTCTGTGAACGAGCCGCGGGAACAGTGAACAGTCAGTACAGTGCAGCGCCGTCTGTGAACGAGCCGGGAACAGTGAACAGTCAGTACAGTGCAGCGCCGTCTGTGAACGAGCCGGGAACGGGCCGTCAGTACAGTGCAGCGCCGTCTGTGAACGAGCCGAGAACGGGCCGTCAGTACAGTGCAGCGCCGTCTGTGAACGAGCCGAGAACAGTGAACAGTCAGTACAGTGCAGCGCCGTCTGTGAACGAGCCGGGAACAGTGAACAGTCAGTACAGTGCAGCGCCGTCTGTGAACGAGCCGAGAACAGTGAACAGTCAGTACAGTGCAGCGCCGTCTGTGAACGAGCCGGGAACAGTGAACAGTCAGTACAGTGCAGCGCCGTCTGTGAACGAGCCGAGAACGGGCCGTCAGTACAGTGCAGCGCCGTCTGTGAACGAGCCGAGAACAGTGAACAGTCAGTACAGTGCAGCGCCGTCTGTGAACGAGCCGGGAACAGTGAACAGTCAGTACAGTGCAGCGCCGTCTGTGAACGAGCCGGGAACAGTGAACAGTCAGTACAGTGCAGCGCCGTCTGTGAACGAGCCGGGAACGGGCCGTCAGCGGCAGCCTACACACGGTCCGTCTCACGAGAGAAGAGAATCCCTGGGGAAGTCACAGAGAGAACGTGGGCGGTATGCCGCAGGTGTATGGAATATTTGGGAGTGAAGTGAGCTTGACCTGGGTTATGAAACACTACCAAAACATCATTAGGAGTGATGAACATTGGCGTTTTAGAGTAGGCGCGACTACAAGTGGAAATCAATGAAATCTCACTGCGAATCAAATGTTAGCGCAGTCGATCCAGTCGTTCTTGAAATATGCAAGCAGATTGTCTTTTTAATTCGCGAGGCTACCCATCTACCGGTTCCCAAGCGTCTACTAAGAAACGACTAACGAGAACAATGGGCTGCGTGCCTGATTCCTTCATATCAGTAATATTTGTCCGGGCCGGTCACATAGCAATGTTTTTTTCGGTAAATGGTATGAACAGATAGTACCGTAGTAGCCGTGCGGTATGTAGTACGGCTGGGCGGTAATAGAGCCTCCTATGCCTCTCACAAGAAGGTCATCAGCAAATCGCGATGTCAGTCAGCCCCATGGTATTCCTATTATCGGACTCCGAATGAAAATGCCTTCTGATTGAAGGGTCGGCGTCTGTACTGTCAATAGGCATGCACGGCACATAGTGATCACCCCCGACGCTCGGTCGCGCCCAAGGGGGTGGGTGGGGGGGGGGGGGGGCAGGCGGGCAGATCCGCCACAGCGCAGCCCGTCCGCTCAGCACCCAGAGTAGACAGCACGCCGCGTCAGCTTCTTCACTAATCTCCGCCCAGTTTTTTCTTTGAAAGGCGGCAATCAGGACCATTCGCAGCTGTAATATCCCTCTCAGACACCAGCGGACATCATCGCACCTCGCCGGCTCGACGGTGGCAGCGCAGACGACGGGCTGACGTCTGCAGACGTGTGTTTTACCCGGTGCTTGCAGACTTGTGATCAGCTCAGTTGAGCCGGCTCAAAAATCAGCTCAGCTCATGAGCCGGCTCAACATTTTGCCAAATTGTTGAGCTGTGAGCTGAGCCGGCTCAGTAATGCATTGAGCTGAGCTGCTGTCTGAGCTGAGCTGAATGAGCTTGAGCTGAGCTCAGCTGAATGAGCTTGAGCTGAGCTGAGCTGAGCTGAGCTGAGCTGAGCTGATTGAGCTGAGCTGAGCTGATTGAGCTGAGCTGAGCTGAGCTGAGCTGATTGAGCTGAGCTGAGCTGAGCGAGCTGAGCTGAGCTGATTGAGCTGAGCTGATTTAGCTGAGCTGAGCTGATCCAGTTCTAGTAGGTACACTGGAAGATGATGAGAACGGATAAAAATATAAAACCGCATGCAATGTGCATTGAATATTGATACACTATAAACACTAGAAACATGATAAACTGGAAAAAATATTATATACAAACCAAAGACGTCACTAGGTGAAAGGCCATGTAGTTCGACACCGCAAACTGAAGCGATCGGTCGGGAAATCGCTACATTCCTCTATTGCACCCCGTTCGCACCGTTGTAAGCCGTTCGGTTGGTATCCTTATCCACTGCGGCGTGATGTCCCGACCTGTGTCCCGATGATTCGATGTCCATGACCAATCAGCACACGCATTGCCGTGACGTCATTGGCCGGACCCCGACACGTTACGGAGATATGGGTGGCATTCGGCATTCGGCAATGGGTGGCATTGAATTTAACTGAGCGGAAACTGAGCTGAGCTGAATTGAGCGGAAACTGAGCTGAGCTGAACGGGAACTGAGTTGAGCTGAGCTTAGCTGAGTGGAAACTGAGCTGAGCTGAACTGAGCTGAGCGGAAACTGAGCTGAGCTGAGCGGAAACTGAGCTGAGCTGAGCGGAAACTGAGCTGAGCGGAAACTGAGCTGAGCTGAGCAGAAACTGAGCTGAGCGGAAACTGAGCTGAGCTGAGCGGAAACTGAGCTGAGTGGAAACTGAGCTGAGCTGAGCTGAGCGGAAACTGAGCTGAGCTGAGCTGAGCGGAAACTGAGCTGAGCTGAGCTGAGCGGAAACTGAGCTGAGCTGAACTGAGCGGAAACTGAGCTGAGCTGAGCTGAGCGTGAGCGGAGCGCAGCCGGTTTGAGCGGAACGTGAGCTGAGCTGAGCCGCGGTAAACTGAGCGGGAGCTGAGCGGGAGCGGATAAGACGGAGTTGTGCTGAGCGAGCTCACTTTTTTCTTGAGCTGTCACAAGTCTGGGTGCTTGGCCGCTCGAGCACCTGCCCAGTCGCCTGTTACCGGACAGTACTGGTCATGACAGTCATGACTATGACTCTGACTAGGCAACACCATAGTTGCGACACAGGAGACCGACAGGATTGCACCGTTTGAAAACTGACCCATGTACTCTAAGAGTAAGAGTTGATAGGGGCGGGACTGGTATGTGGGATATCGTTTCATATGTGCACCACACCCGTCATTGGACTATGCTGTGCCGCATGAGACGTTCACTGGGCTTCTAGCGGCCACTCAGCCCAGATCAATCACAGCGCAGCTAGCCGCAACGGCCACCCCGATGAACCGCTACGAACTGGCGCTGGTTGGCACCGAGGTATACCGAGCGGCGGCAGCGGCACAGTGCAGCTGGTTGGCCGCGAGGATATACCGAGCGGCGGCAGCAGCACATTGACGCATTAATTCTCAATAGTGCTCTATCCGTTACAATAACACGGAATAAAAACATGAGCCTGAATAAGCCACCCAGCTCCGCCGAACAGCGGAGGAGAGGACCGAACCAGTCTCTGCTGGCCAACGGAGGCGGATCACTCCAGCCAATGGTACGCTGTCCTGAGCTCCAAGGCCCTCTGCATTAATCAGCTATCAGAGTTCGGTATTATCGTCCATAAAGGCCTCCACTAGAGATGTCAATAGGATGCCAACTTTTTTGTAAACCGATACCAAACCGATACCAACTTGGTATTTGGTATTTCAGTCCTGCTGCTTTTGGTATTTTGCTGGTATTGTGAATGCTGACTACGGCATTAGACGCTCCAAAGTCGGCAAAAAGTTAGTATTTCTATCCAATTCTGATGTTGGTTTGGTTTTCGTGCTCTTCCTTGTTTTCAGTTGGTAGGTATTTGGTTTGGGATCTGTTTCCAAATTATCTGCATCTGACATCACTAGCCTCAACACTGACGGCCGACCAGCAGTCTCCGGTCACAGGGGGAGGGGGGGGGGGTGTCGATGTGGTGTCTCTCACACAGCCGCAATGATTCGCCGCTCGTGACTCGCAGCTAAATCAGTAGCTGACGGACGCCCAGCAGCGCTCGTATCGTTCGACCGTTTACTGCGGAGCGGCCGATGGACATTCGTTGGCCGCGACACGAGTCGTCCTGGCCGCTCCTTAGCGGTCGACGCTGCTCGGGTGCGACCGGCCAGAGCCCCCTCCTCGCCCTGGAACGTGAGCGTCTGTAGCCGCATCCGCGCTGTCCCTTGTCCCCTTATTATAAGCTTTCATTACCTCTCATCCTCCACTCTGTTCTTCCCTTCCCCAGCTAACGGTGCTCCCTTCCCCATCCTGGCCTTTCCTTCCCCGTCCTGGCCTTTCCTTCCCCTACCCTGATGCTCCCTTCCCCTATATACCCTGGTCTTCCTAGTTCTGACATGTTGCCACGCTAGTCTCGATGTGGTCGGCCAAAGCCAATAACTCCATTGCCTCTCCGTCGATGATAATTGATAATTATCTTCCTGTCATAGCACGCAGACCAGCAACACTCAGCGATTAGTGCTGGATTCATTTTGCGGGAGCGACCCGAGTGACGGTGAATATGGATTGGGATTTGCAAAGTGCACTAGCAAAATGCTTCAATTTTTGTTTAGTGTTTAAAGTATTTAGAAAAAAGGTACTTAAATTTTTATCTTTTGTGAAATTGTTTCTCCGAGCTGATACGAATTTTCTATTGAAGTGATCCGTAATGCATCTGAACGCGGCTAGTAATTCATCACAGCGGAACACTGGTTCACATCAGCGATGGAAAATAAAGCTCCGCCTAGGACGTCAGTACGAGCGTCATGCGCCCGTGTATTTGTTACACGCACGTGGGTTGCATCGAAACGCAGCGGCTAAGTGGATGTATTGACCCGGGGGCAGAGCTGAGGAAACTAGGCCGGGGAAATGTCAGGCTCATACCATGCTCTGGCGTATCGATTTCAGCGGAAATACTTCAGCAAATGCAATATCGCAGTTACTGTTGTTTTTTTTTTTTTTGCACGCGTCATAGCTGACTGAAAACAATACGCTAAAAGTGATCCTTCAGTCCTTGATGTAACCAGTGTCTGCTATCTATACCCATACACTGTGACTAGTGTGGTGCTTGTTGCCTTCTATGAATGCTCGCCGACGGAAATCAGCTATCACGTGCGGTAACACGTGAGCCGCTAATCCCTAAACATTGCTCACTTGCTTTTTCGATACTTGCGCACCACACACCGGAAAGTCATCCACATCAATGTGTAGGTGGTACGAAGAGCTAGATCAGCATCAATATACTACACAATTCCTCCCCTCCGACACAAATCCCGGCCACAACAGCTCCACCAGGGTCTGTCAGTGGGTCGGCGGGTGCAGTCTCACCTTCAGCTGGACAGTGACGTCCTTGCTGAAGCACAGGTAGATCCAGGGGTTGGTGCACGAGTTGAGACTGGCCAGCAGCAGCAGGATCACAAACACCGCCGGTAGCTTGGACGCTGAAACGGACAAACACGGGTCATGGTACAGCTGAACGTCTGGGGTATACCGTGGGCTTATTGGCATACCGTGTACGATGGGAATGCATATGACAAATTTATTCCATTCTAAATATGGTAAACAGATTGACTTTCAAAATGCACAGCGTAGGAGAAATGAAGGCTCCTGCAATCAACTTAAGTACGAATTAAATGTTTCATCGATATCTTTTATCTTTATTATATTCATCAGTATAAATCCACTCGGTCTCATTCAGAACTTTCCTCGAACACTTTGTACCGACAAAGCGAGTCGTTCTAGCCAATTTCATTCGCAAAGCACCGCGCAAAATCGATCAAACAGACCACAAGCTTCCCTATAAGCTACATACAGAAACGACCGAGCACGATCATGCATTGATGTTGTGCAGTGGCCGTGCAGCGCTAAGTACCCAGGTAGGCGCGTCATGTCTGTCTCGGCGCCGGACAGCGGCCTGTCCGGCACAGAGCACAGTCCCTCCCTCGCCTAAGTGCCCCGCCGCGCCGCCGGCCCCGCCTGCCGTGAGTGCTCGCCGGGAAGGACCGGGTCGCGCTGTCGAGCTGTTACCGGGCACCTGTGGCTGCTGACCACGCGCAGCTGAGCGCACTCACAGGCGCGGAGAGACGGCCGCAAACGAGCCCATTTCAGGCTGTCAGAGCGCGGCGCTGCTCTGAACCGGCCCGCCCAGCCGGGGAGGGGTGACCGCCGGCCCAGACGCTGATTCTCGCCAGGTCACAAGCCGTTCGTACCGCGCACTGTTTTCTGCAGCTGCCTTTCTGGCTGGCTGCGAGCCGTGGCGACGCGTTTGCTCGAATTCGCCACGGTCCGGGAGCGGACAATGCTTTGGTTTATAAAATTTGGACGGCAGATCATTCAGCGGCAGCCGGCAGTTCTAATGGCGGCTGGAGCATCTTAGTGCCGGGCAGCGAAAGTTCAACGACGGCCGCGGAGAAAACGGTCTGGTTTTAAGTGCTCTTACCTTTGGACCACACGGCGCTCAGCTCGTAAAAGATGGAGCTGGTACGCGCCCTTTTTTACCACAGTTTGGGCACGGGTATCCACGTTGGTAATGCGGCGGCTTTCTTAGTGTCACTGGCGTGGCGGTCGCAGGCAATTTTACAAATGAGTGAATTATTAGGCTCCAGATAGATGAGGACTTCGCAATTCGTCACACTTAAATAGCCCTTTCTGCCCTAATATCATTATTCACGGCATAAAGATAAAGTTACTATATATGGCACACTTTATTCATACGTCCTGAATATCGATTTGCATTGCATATGAATCGTAAATACAATAATGTTTTATATTATCATAAACATTGGAAGATTGTACTTTTTGTATCATCTCTAAAAAAAAAAAACATTTTGTAGGACTTGTGTAGGCAAATCAAACAGGCACACTCTAACAAGAACAGTTTAAAGAAATCATTGGCATTTTTTTTTATTTAAGTTGAAAACGGAGCAAATGCAATTACTTAACGATCATGCTTCGTTTTTTTTTTTTTTTACACAAGGAAATTAAAGTTAAATTATTAACCCGCGCCCCACTGGGGGGGGGGGGGCTATTCATAGCCCCCCTCCCGTTTTTCTGTAATAACTTCCAAACCGCTTGACGTATCAACGCCAAACTTTCAGTACCTTCGGCTGCATCAACTTGACACCTTGTATCAAAATTTGAACTTCGTAGCTACCATAGGTCGGCCGGAAATGACGTCAGAGTGACGTCATGTTCGGCCGATTTCGACGCAAAACATTGAACCACGGCAATCGCTCCCACGGGCTAAGTTTTTAAGCTAGATCTTATTTCTTTGCATGAGAGGACTCAAAATAGACTTCGCTATCAAAATGCTATCTCGGATTTTCGAAATTTTAAAAATTTCGAAAAAAAAAACTATATAATAAAATTCGAAATTTAAATTTATGCATTTTTTCAAAAAGTTTTTGACTTTTCGAAAAAACCGGAATATATGTGATAGAACCCGTTATTATGACTAACTCTAGCAAGTTTTAGCTAAATATCTTCAAAAATGGCCAAGTTATACGCAATATTGCAAAAAAAAATCACAATTATTAATTTTTCAAATCAATTTTTCACCACATATTTGACATCGTACGCCAATATAAATAGCACCATCGTGTTCCTGAGCTCAAACTGCATCCAATAGACACCTTTTCTGTTGAAAAATTATTACTTCAAAATTTGACCTTTTTTACCTGAAAGTGACCTGACCTAAGCTAAATTCGACTCAAAATGACCTCGAATGACACAGACGACATCAAATTCGAAATCTTTGGCCTAAATGGACCATAAAACATGTGTCACGTGACCGACGCATGATATAATATTTTCGTGACCTGTGATGACCTGACCTTGACCTGAAAATCGAAGTACAAGTTTGGTACCCTCAGGGTATCTAGAGCATCTGTTCATGAGTGTGTGAACCAAAAATGAGCCTGATCTGACTTGTAAGACGGCGGCCAGAGCCCAAAACGTGAACAAGCCAAAATGCTAATAATTTTTACTTTGACCTGACCTGTGACGTCATCAGTGACCTCGAGGTCAATGAAATTAGGTTTCGTCCGACAGTTCTTCCGGGGCTATCAGACGCCGTTTGAATTTTGACGATCGGCCCAGTAGTTTCGGAGTTAGGAGGGGGGCTATGAATAGCTCCCCCCCCCCCCAGTAGGGCGTGTTATACGCAGACCCCAGTGGGGAGCGGGTAGATAGGTAATGTCAGGAAAAAATGTGCTTGGTATTAAGCATAATATACTTTTGTCAACCTTTCAATGTTCCAATGTTTCACCAGTGGTGAATAATAATATCAGTAATATGAATAATTGTTAGTGATAATAATGAATGATATTAAACGGTGTTAAAACCTATATAGCTGTCGGCATAATAACTAGGATTACATGATTCCGAGAAATGATTACTTCCACATATTTTGCTTCAATAACTAGTCAAATCTATGTTAGGTCGCGCATCCCTGAGACATCATTTCGCGGAAGGCCAACAGGATAGACCGCAGCCCCAGAGACTGCAAATTACAGCGTTGAAAATAGCATTGCGACTGATAACGAACAAACAGGAACTGAAGCACGCTAGGTCAATAACAAGAGAGCGAAAGCTACCAATCAAACAACTACAGATGCTCAGCGTGTTTGCATTACCACAGAATTCAGTGTTCATTGTTCACACTTTTGTGACTGATAGGAATGGATGTTAATGAAGAATCTATTGCTTCTCGAGGACATTAGCCATGTAGGTATTGAGTTAAGTACTGCGTGGCACACTCCATGGCCATGCACGTGTGCTCCAAGGCCATGCAACAAAAAGCATGCTCTCTCTTCCCCACTCTCTCCCTCTCTCTCTCTCTCTCTCTCTCTCTCTCTCTCTCTCTCTCTCTCTCTCTCTCTCTCTTTCCCCTCCCCCCGCCTCTGCCCGATGCGGCTGACTCACTGTCCTGCGGTGGGAAGAAGGTGAGGTAGAACTGCGTGCAGCAGAAGGGCGCCCAGCACACCACGAAGCACAGCACCACGCACAGTGTCAGCTTCACCGACTGCACCTTGGCGGCGCTGATGCGGCGCCGCTCGTCGCACACCTGCACGCGGTGCTCGGCGGCGGTGCCGGGCCGCGAGCGGACGCGCAGCTCCAGCTGCAGGCAGCACAGCGTCTCCGGCTGACTCTCCCAGCACACCTGGCTGCCCACCGGCTCGAACGAGCTGGCTGGCGCCGCCTGGCCCTGCCGCGAGCACTGGTAGATCCGGTACGTCATCGCCGAGTAGCAGAAGGCGATGATCATCAGCGGCACCAGGAACACCACGCTGCTGAACCAGATGATGTAGGCGCGCTCGCCCCAGCTGAAGCGGAAGGTGCCCCAGCAGTCGCGCTCCCCCGACGGCAGCTGCTGCACGGAGAAGATGAACAGCTGCGGGAGGGCGCACAGCGCCGCGAACAGCCACGCCAGGCGGACCATGTAGCGCGCGCAGATGATGGAGTTGGAGTGGAACGTCGTCCGGCCGTAGATGACGTGGTAGCGGTCGATGGCCATCGCCACGAGGATGAAAGTGGACAGGTAGAGCGTCAGCACCTGGGAGTACTTGACCAGCTTGCAGAGCAGGTTGGGCCCCACGAAGCGGTACGTGATGTCCCAGGCCAGCTGGGGCAGCACGTTGAAGAACGCCACCAGGATGTCTGCCACGCTGAGGTGCAGCATGAAGTAGTGGACGCGCGACATGCGCCGCTCGGCGCGGATGCCCTGCAGCGCCAGCAGGATGCTGCTGTTGCCCACCAGCGCCATCAGGAAGATGGCGAACAGCACGCAGATCTCGATGGTGGCCAGGTACTCGTCGCGGCCGGGGCTGACGTGCTGGGCGTCCGGGCTGACCGTGCTGGAGGCGCTGCTGACCGGCTCGCTGGACGGCGGCGGCGCGTCGTCGGCCGGCCAGCCGACCCCGCCCGACAGCATCAGCCGCTCGGCCATCCCCGCGGCCATCCCCGACCCGTTCATCTCTACCACAGCGGCGGCGGAGCGAGCGCGGCGCACTGCAGAGGCCCACCGCCCGCAGAGCAGTCCTCTCACCCGGCCACCCACTGGCGCCAACGGGCCAAGAGCGAGCTACTAGCAGCGCAATGCGGCAGCACCCAGCGACTACTTCCGTCTGAAACAGAGAATGACGCGGCTCTGTAAGTGTTTTGCAGCTGATTTCCAAACCGTGTCGGATACTTGGAGCTCAGAAACGAGCTCAGTGAACGCAGGATTCAGAAAAGCGACCTTAGAAAATATTTATTGTAACCATGGTTCAATGACAAAACCGTGTTTGAAATAATGGTGTTTATCTGCAAAGCAAAGTAGGTATGTACGTACTACGTGCAATAAGACCTTCTTTATCGCTGACGGAAAATGTGAGCGAAATCTGAGAATCCCGATGCCGGCGATGCGCTACGCTATTTAGGTACGAAACATTGCCGAAATATCGAGCTGGATTTTTTCTTGCATCATCAGCACGCAAATCTGCCTGGTGAAAGCCGAGGACGCAAAATTCTGGGCACCCCGAAAAGGAAAATGAAAGTCCTATTGGCATCGATCGGAGACAAAAGGTGTAAAAGCCGAGAAAGGTCATTGTTGCATGCATAATTTACATATAAACGTGTTTGGGACGGAAAATCAAATTCCAGTGGCAGTGCTCGGGAAAAAAGCAAAAGTTCTCGTTGGCGGTACAGAGAGAGAGAAAGAGAGAGAGAGAGAGAGAGAGAGAGAGAGAGAGAGAGAGAGAGAGAGAGAGAGAGAGAGAGAGAGAGAGAGAGAGAGAGAGGAGGCAGGTCCCAGAGAAACATTGCCTGAATTTGCCGTAACTGCTACAGCGTGAGTTTATGTAAGCGCAATGAACTACCTAACATCAGGTGATTCAAAACAAATGTTTGAGTGCTCTGGCAATCCTGATTCAGGGAATCTTAGCCGGGCTTACCCAGGAGACGCTCAGTCCTAAGTAATCCTTCACAAACGCATCCACCGCGATTACAAACCCTGGATGGGTGGCCTACTTATTAATATTAAACTCAATAATCTAGTAGAGGTCTTTCTTGACGAATGTTTCCTTATAGAATCCTCAGAAAAAAAAACAGCAGAGGAGCGCAGGATAGGGCACATCAGCAATAATAGCTGCCTCTCACAAGCTTCTGTCCACTAATTCATCAGCATCAGCTCATTTAAGTCATCAGGACGACGCATAAAAACTAGGATTTTTGGTAGGTATATGTTCAGTTCAGTTCAGTTCAGTTCAATGTATTTCGAATCATTCCATTGCATGGTTTAGTATTTGATTCGATCACACACACAAAAAAGACATGGTACACCTAACCCCTCCCCCCCCCCCTCCCCACGTACGTTTACTAAATTGGCAATGTCCTCACGCCAATATCACCAATTATGATCAATGGTAATTGGTTAGGACCAAATATAAAGTTCGGGCTGCCAGCTTCATCCACGGACTGTTTACGACCTGCAGTGACCGTCCCATCGGTTTTCCGAAAACCGATGCGACCGCAAAAACCGATGGAGAAACCGGAAAACCAATGCGTCAGCTGCGAACACGCAGTGCCCTCAAGCTAGGGCCTGAACGTGAATCAATTATCTACAAAGGCAAATGACTGGTGCTGTTGATTGCCATCGTTCCCAGTGATTCTAAGAACACGCCCAAGGAAAAAAAAGGCGCGTTGAAGGGAGGCCAGAGTGTTGCGATCTTTGGGTTGCTTGCAATGTTTGGCTTCACCAGTAATTAACCCTCGCCCGCACATGACATTTTCCCATCCTAGAACGCACATGGGGGGGGGGGTGGTTGCCACCCCCCCGCGCCATTTCGTTCCTGTTGGAGATAGAGCTTAGCAGTAAAGACCAAAAAGATTCTTTGGGAAGAGACGAATCCAATGATACCCAGTTTTACCTTCTCAGGTCAGTCATTGACCTTCCAGGTCAGGTCAAACTAAAAAATGTTGCTGTTTTGGGTCACCGTTGGATATCAAGTGCGCTGCTTATCAAATACCGATGACGATGCTGTTTTCTGGTGCCAAGCCAGCTAGAACCTCTTTGTCACACTATCCGACCAGAATTTTGCTGCCGAGGTCATTTCAGGTCAAGTTAGGTCAAGGTCAATTATATGTGTTTGTATGTCTGTGTGTGTCTGTGTGTATACTGATGTGTGCACCGATTGTTTTTGGGTCCATATCACATGAAATCATGATCTGAGAAGCTTTTACCAAAAATGCAGTAAAAAAACTTCACAAAAAGTAAATTCAGCTTGCCTAAAACGCAATTATCTTAGATGACCTAGGTTGACCTTGACCCTGACCTTGACCCCTGTACATCGTCGAACAACATGTTCCATGATAGGTGGGAGGTAAGACTGGCAAAAAAAGCCGAAATCAGGGTGTCAAAAGCTCACAAGGCCCATGGCAAACGCAAGATGTTGAGAATTGGCCATTTGGGTCATGACATGACCTGAAAAACAAGGTCATATCTCCAAAACCAAAAATCACAGAAACTTGAAATTTTCAGTGGACATCGAGAAAGGATAGACGAGCAGCTATACGAAAAATCAGCCTTCTAGCTCTAAAAATGTTGAGTGCAGAGCAGAAAGACTGCCTGGGGGGGTGGCAACCCCCCCCCCCCCATGTGCGGGCGAGGGTTAACCCGCGCCCAGATGGGGTCTGCCGAGCAACGCGGTCTGATGGGGGGGGGCCATTTTGGCCCCCCCCTCAGATCTCGAGAACCACGCAACATAGCGACAAGCGGTAAACGGTGTTGGATAGCCCCAACGGGGAACTACCTTGTGACCCAATTTCATTGACCTCGGTCAAACCGATGACGTCACAGGTCAGGTCAAAGGTCGAATTTTCACCGTTTACAGGCATTTCAAAAAATGCGTTGTAAAATCGTGTAAAATGCATTTCATTGAAAATCATCGATGGGGAAATGTTCTTGAAACACATATTTTGCTATTTGAGGTCACTGATACCAGGTCAGGTCACAGAGGTCAGGTCACTGGGGGGTCACAATATGAAAGTGTCGTGTGATACATGTTTTATGGTCCATTTTACATGACAAATGCGATTATGTGGGTCAGACAGACTTTAGGGCCAGCTTAGGTCACGTTTTGGTCAAGGTCAGGTCAAGGTCAGGTCAAGGTCAGGTCAAATTAGGTCAAATTTCAAAGTTGATAATATTTTTGCATAAAATGGGTATCGATTCGATGCAGCTCGTCACGGGGAGTTCAATGGTGGTCTCCGTTTTGCGCTACGAGGTCTAGAATTGCTAAAAATTGAGTTCAAAATTTTGACGTCATCAATTTTTAACAGTTTTTTCGCTATAACTTGGCCAAAAAAAGAGGTATCGATCTAAAATTTGGTATGTATATCGAAGAGCGCAGGGTCTATCACATATATTCCGGTTTTTTCGAAATTCGAAAAATTTTTGGAAATTTTTTGAGTTTTTCTGAAAAAATCAATTTTTTTGATTTTTGGGGGTCAAAATCCAAAAATTTCGAAAATCCGAGATAGCAGTTTTGTAGCGCCGTCTTTTCTCTACACAACCACATAAAGAACTTTAAAATTGCTTGTTAACTGTAGAATTGGTGAGCGTTTCAAGATGTCATGTTTTTTGCTCATTTTTACTCGAACATGACCTCAGTTTGACCTCAATAACTCCTGACCTGAGGTGACCTGTGACTTGAAATTTTGTGTGAAGGTGTCAAATTGATGTCCGGTAAGGTACCCAAAATTTGGCGGCGCTGCGCGCCGCCGTTTTCTCGCTATTTAAGAAAAACCACAGGGGGGGGCCAAAATGGCCCCCCCCCATCAGGGCGCGGGTTAAGTTTTACCTGGTGGTGATAAAAATATCATACTAATACAACTATCAAGGGTTTTTCTAGCCAGTCTAAACTTATCTCCCAGAAACTCCTTGGCTCGACAGTAAAAAGAAATGGGAATAACAATTATTTAAAGATATTTGTTTAAAAAATTGAGTTTGGATCCTTACATTCGGAGTAGACATAAGAATTAGTGCAGCTCTCAATCACGTAAAACGTCTGGGCCGTGGACGTATGGTCTTACTGTAGTGGCGTGTTGTGGGATTCACGAGATCACAGATCTTGTCCTTATTTTGTTTCCAGATCATGTGAGCTAATTTGCGACAATATCTTTTCATGTAGATTCCAATGTGTTCATAGATCTTAACTGGTAATTTGGTTTGAGATCCACTGAGATTAGGGACCCAATACTCGGATGGGTGCACATCAAAACAGCATGCCCAATGTTAGCAATTTCATTCTAGAGAGCTCGAGGAGGCACCAGCTCCGCCCTGTCCGGGTCGTCAGCCTGTTGCTGAGGCAGCCACCCTCCTGGCCCGGAAGCTGCCCCGGTGGTGCCATCCTAAAACTGCTGTCACACGCACACGGCGCCGAGTGCGCACTTCCCTAATGGACAGGTCTGAAAATGGCAGAACGAGGAGTGTCCTGTTGACTTACAGCACAACTGTGTAACTATGTAACTGTGCTTTAAACTTACCAAGACGACCATGTTTACCTATTACAGCCAATGGCCGTCGGTACTGACTGATCTGACTGATCGTTGATAATTTCCATCGCGGAATCGCACTGTGAAAATGCAACAGTTTACAGCAAGCACAAAGCACGTTGTTGAGCACGGTAACTATTGAAAAAATAGTTCGTTATTTCAATTTCGGGAAATAAGAAAGCTTTGCACAATTGATTCCGCACACCTGCAGTGTGACAATATTCCTCTGTGATTTCAGATGGCCATCATATTTTAACCATGATATGTAAGGCGCCTAAAGGTTCAAATACGAGCGACCGCAGAATGAGCTCTCACGTGCGCCGGTGCGTTGCGAGACCCAAAACGATTTCTGCCGGCCACCCTTTTAATTAACAACGGTGTAGTGCACGTGCACACGTGCAATAGCACCCCAAACGTGATGCACATAAATGTATCAGCCTGGTGGATACCCGCTGATAGCCCAAGCTTCAGCACAATTGACTCAGTGATTGCTGAGTTATTATTATGGGAACAAGCTGGCCGCTAGGCACGTCTTCCATTTTGTAAGTGACACGTGTCGTGGTCGCCATCCGCATGCATTGAGAGCAG